ATAGGGTTAGCAACATGTGATACAAATCACAATCAACACAATCAATGCTAACCCTATCAGTCAGTCATGTGATACAAATATAGGGTTAGCATTGATTGTGATTTGTATCACATGATGATTAGTGTTCTCTATTTAGACAGAACATTTTTGATGTCTTACAGTCATATATTTAATGGCTAAAATTCAATTAGTTTTGGGGTCATATAACTTGTTTTCCATTCCAATAACATTTAGTTAGTTAACCCTATAAACATGGGAGCATCAAAGTATGCATGTCACAACTTTTATTATTATAGATGTGTGTTAATGAGCTTGGTTCACATGACATTGGTGTCACTCTGAATTCTCATTTATAGATTTTTGTCTCTTCCCTTATAATGGCTGCAGATTGTACATCGATTAGAAACATATACTATAGGCACTGACAAGCCAGAATATAAAATTTTAACCTTCTTGCCGTACGGAGATAACCACTATATTTGTTCGACCCATAAACGTGCTCTTCTGTAACCATCTGTCTTTAGAAATGTCTATAATTCTCCCTGACATTGCTATAGCACATTTACTTTACACATTAGTCAGGAAAAAAGTTTGATATTGTAAAAACCAGATCAGTATTATGTTTTTATGAAGTATTTGTCTTATATCAGAGTGGTATTGCTGCCCAGTGTCCTTCCGAGAAGCCTGTCAAAAAGTAAGTTTGTTTAGGAACGTTTTTTTGTTTTTTTTTATTATTATTTTGTTTCTGTTCTTAAATTGGATAGTTGATAAAGGTCAGATGTTTATTTATGGTGTTATCGCAGCTTGAACTTAATTTCACCCAGAGAAATAAAACACAAGCAGTTAACGTATAGTGTATAGAAGTTGCCAATCTCAACATCGTTTCACTCAGAATAATAAAGCACAAGTTGTTAACGTATAATGCCAACATTAACAGAAACACAAAATCTGTACTAAGCTTTTTTGCATAATTGAAACTTAAATCTGTAATATTCTGGGAAAACTCTTAAAAAAATAAAACCATAAGTTTTAAATAATTTTATTCACTCATTGACTTAGCACAAAATATTTTGATTTATTGTTGTTACAAATGAATAATTGTAATATTAATTTAAGAAATTTTAGAATGAAATAGAATCGTTTCATTCAACCATCATTTCTTCCATTAAATCACTGTTTCTGACATCAGCCATCATTTCTTCCATTAAATCACTGTTTCTGACATCAGCCATCATTTCTTCCATTAAATCACTGTTTCTGACATCAGCCATCATTTCTTCCATTAAATCACTGTTTCTGACATCAGCCATCATTTCTTCCATTAAATCACTGTTTCTTATATTGGCCATAATTTCTTCCAGTAAATCACGATATCATGATATCAGCCATAATTTCTTCCAGTAAATCACGATATCATGATATCAGCCATAATTTCTTCCATTAAATCACTGTTTCTGATATTCACTACATGATTTTATTTTCCCACTTTTTCATATAGACTCTTGGTATATCCACCTCCACCCCAAACTGGTGGCATCACCATCACTAACGAGGATTTAGAGTGTCTCGCAGAAGGAGAGTTTCTAAATGACGTCATCTTAGATTTCTACCTGAAGTAAGGGAGAGCTGGTATTTTGTAGTGGAATTACAATGTTATATTTACTAAATTATAATTTTACTGTGTGGTAAAAAATACACTTAATCTGATGAAATCTTTTGTGTGAAAATCATCTCTCCAATAACTTGTATATTTTAGCCAAAATGAAAATCTAGTATTGCTTATTTTATTTATTTATTTTTTAGCACAGGCAGTCATGTTCCTCTTCTCTGTGTATCATCAGTTACATTTAAGTTGTGAACTTTTAACCTTAACTTAGTTTTAAATTAAAAGTGGTTGTGATAAAGCAAACTTCAGCATTTCTTGCACTGATGATGAATGATATAACAGGTACATGCATATCATACTAACTCGTGTGTGTGTGTGTTTAAAACTTTTAGTATTTTTCAAACATTCACTATTTTTAAGTACAACAATTATTTGGCTAGTTTTTCTACTTAAATGCTTTTTAACTTCCCTAATGTAGGTCATCCTTCAATATTAATAAGTGCTTAAAGGATTAACCCAGTTTTAAAAGGTTTAATCTGCATGCAAAGTTCTTGAACATTTTTACTAAACCAGTTTCTTAATTTGTGGTTGAATTGGTTTATAAATATAAATCTTATCCCTAATTGTGATGTAAATATTTCAAAGAATTTTGGTCAACTAGATTTTATTTGAATTCCACATTTTAAATTACTTTGTCAAAAAAGTTCTGGCACTTAGTGTATAATCTCTTTAAATTTTGACGTGCACAAAATTAGTCTTGGTTTAATGGAGTTATTTTTTTTTACTACTAGTAATCAGCCGACGTGTAAATGCAAGAAGCTCATTGGTTAATTCATTTCATAAATGAAAGTTTTAAATGAATTTTCCAATTAGAGGAGGGGGGAACACTATTCATCTCTTAACTTTTTCACAGATAGAAACTATTAACACAATAATTATTTGTTGTACCTGGTATACCAGTTACAGTTTATTGTCAAAAGTGATGTTTCATTCAAACTCTAATATTTACTTGCATGAAACGTCACAGAGAGATTTCTAACTTTAGGCTTTTAATAGAGATTATGTAAGACCAGTGTTAGCTTATGCCAACTTCTTTTTTCCTAGGTACATAATTATGGAGAAACTTTCGGAGGAAGATCGCCAAAGAACTCACATATTTAGCTCTTTCTTCTATCCGCGTCTCACTGCTAATCCAGGCAGCAAGCCACTTTCAGAGGAGGAGGCCAGCATGACGTACGTTTTATCATTTAGTTTATCATGACCATCCTTTATAATGACCTAAAATTCCTTCAGTTGAAAAAACAAAACCTTAACAATCGGAGAGTCCACTGTATAGAAGTCCTTTTCTCCTTGGTTATGGATTTGTTAGTTTTGGTTAATGAATTTTATGGAAGAAAAGTTATTATTTGGAATTCTTAAACATTCAATATTAAAACCTGAAAGTCTGTGCCCCCTTGATTATCTTATGATTATGTTAAACCCTTTTGCAATTGACTGGTCTAACTGCGCGTGTCATGGTCTTTTACCGAGTTATTTTCAAAATTTTATTAAGTAACTTCGTTATCTCTGTATACCAATGAAATTGGTATCAAATTGTAGTTTATATTCCAAATTTTAATATTATGTATGTTTTAATTTCTTAATTCAAAAGAATATATAGAAAAAGAGCTAAATATTGATTTGTGTGTGTCACATAGCACCTCATCATGTCTTGTTGCTCAGTTTATATTTTTTTACATCTATAGTTGGTTAACAAATTAGAAACTTAGATTTTAGATACTGGCAATTTAGAACCTCCTACCACTTTGATTTGCTGAGATATCAATGTTTCTAGCAAATCAACTAGAGTGGCTCCATCTCCATTCATTTGAATCCTCTTGACTAGTCCCACCTACTTTTCTTAAGTGCATGTTTATAACCAATAGAAAGGACAAATTGGGCTTCACATTATTTTGACAGTTGTTTGTAAAGAGCTTGGAGGAGAAAATGATAATTTTGAGACTGTTGAAGTGTGATGACCAAGCTTCTCGTTCTGAACAAAGATTTTTTTTCACAAACATATACTATATTTATAAACCCGAATAGGTTACAGATGTTTTACGTGTACTAGTAGAGTAATTTAATTTTTTTTTCTTTCTAAAATGTATACTTGAAGCCTACAAAAATTGCATTTCTTCACCTTCAACTCGAAAGAATAAGCAAGGCTTAGCACTAAAGGCATACAAGGACAAAATATTTTCCTATTAATGTAACTTTGTGTAAGTACTAGAATTTGTTGTTTTTTAATGTTCATTTTATTTATTGTTCTATGTTTTAAGAAAAATAACTAAGATTTAAGCATTTACGAGTAAATATAAATGGTAGCTGAAATATCAGCGTAAATTGCAAAATATTCGTATTACAGTTAGATTTGTACTTTGTAGGCCTATGTTCACTAAGAGTGAACTAACTGCGAATACTTGGGAAGGGAAAGTAGATTCTAAAGCAAAACAAGAACATGACTTGTGAACCAGATCATGAATTTCTATTGGTCTATTCATAACAACCTAAACACACGATGGACATTTGCATCTTTCATCACGTAGTAACAAAATAGTGGCCAGAGGTGTTCAAGGATAAAACTATCCTCCTTTGCCCCAATCGTTTTGTGTGAGTGTGCCAAACGAGTCTAATCCAAGACCTCGCATGTTACTTGATGTTTTCATAAATGTTTTTGATTTTATCACACCATAAAGTTCTCATTGAAAATGCTGTGGTAAACCTAAGTCCATTTGCTTACTTGCACTCAAGAATCTCGTATTATATTGTCGTGTAAATAGTCTAATGACACAAGTGGTGATTTATTGCATTACTTCTACTTCAGTCGCTAATGGTAAAATAAATATAGATTTGAAAATTTTTAGAAGTCAAAACCATCAAGACGCGTACTTCGAAAATTCATGATCAATAACAGAAATAACTGGAGAGAGCTACTCATTTTATTTTACATTTTACAATTACATTAGGGTTAAGGTTATAACAAATAAAATATATGATTAGGGTTAAGGCTATAACTGATAAAATGTAACATTTTACTGAAAAAAAAACAAATTTTATATTTATTCAGGAAGTTTGAGATTACACAAATTAAATCTGAGAATTTGGGACAGATAATAGTTTTTTTAATCAGAACATGAAAATCACTTGGCACTCGGACTAGTAAAGAGACAGGCTCGATTTATTCACAAATAAATCTTTGGTAAAAATATACTTCATTAAGAAATTGATTTTTGGGTACAAAATGTAATGTTTCCCAAAAGGCTACTAAATTTTGTGAATATACACATGATGCATTAAAGTTATAGTACAAATAGTTAACGTATGGAAACGTTTATACGGACTCGGTATCTTATACCTAGCCCAATGTGAAAGGGTTAATCAGAAACCAGTATTGGGGGTTTAAGTATGGAGTCTTTATTTTTCATCTTTTTTTTTCAGTTTAAACGTGTTTAACAGTATATTAAGTTAAGAGAGATTCGATGAAATCAAAGTTTTGCTCACATTTAGATACGTAGCTCACTATGATTAGAAGTTATTACTATTATGTCAAATTCTTCATACTCTGAGTAACATTTGTTACGTAGCGTTCAAGAGAGACGTCATAACAGAGTTAAAAAATGGACTCGTCATGTGGATATCTTCCAAAAGGAGTTCATCATCGTACCCATCAACCAGAATCATCACTGGTTTCTTGCTATCATCTGCTTCTCAGGCCTGGTGAAAGACAAGGTTGTCAGTTCTGCTAAATCTACTGGTGAGACAGAACCTAGTCCTGCTTCTAGTCCTGGTACGGAACAGCAAGCTAATTCCAGTATGACAATACAGGAAGAAGGTAAAATCATGTGGACATTTTTAACAAATAACTTAACTCCATAAAACATCACGTGAAACAAAACTCGTCTCTCTTACACATGCCACACAATACAAATATCTGCACGACAGCATAACACTCAGACTTTATTGATTTATGCAAATTTAATGTTGATTTAACTTGTGATTCAAATATTGTTTATTGTAAAGTGATTTTTTAAACGTTTTACAACAGACTCAGTTTTGAAGTACAGGGAGGCTCGAGACTTACTTGTGTGTACTTTTGTATGTACGTTCAACAGAACCCATTGGGGTAACTTCCGGCTCAGATCCAAAAGAGGGTCAGTTAGAGATGGAGGAACCAGAGTCTCCACTTCCAGCCAAAAAAGCATCGCCTAACTTGTCCACTGAAGAACAAGAAGATCCCATTCCAAAATCTCAAAGTCCATCTGAACATAAACAAGGACCAGCTAAATCTTCTAGTAATCCTGATCTCCCAAAGAAAGAGTAAACCTTTTTTTTTTTAAATTTTGTTTAGGACATTTAAATAATGCAGGAGTTGCAAACACATGTATCAGTGATGCTCGTGTGAAATGTCCTTGGTAGCATTAATGCATATTTGTGACAAAAACCTGTTTATACGTATTATCTGATAACAACAACTTTTTGTGGATATTATATTTGTTAAATAAGAATTATATGTTTCTCAAAGTGCAGAAAGTAGTTCAAAATTTATCGAAAATTCAAGATGTAAAACTTTTAATATCGGTCGTTCGTGTCAGGTTGCTCTTTTGAAACACTTGCATCTTATTTTTTTTTTATCATCTTTTGATAGTGATGGTAATGATGCATTTCTTTTCAGGCCATGTATTCTTGTGTTCGATTCTTTACTGGGACCAGCACGATGGAGGATAGTAGCCACGCTGAGAGAGTAAGAACTTTTTATATGTTGGTGGTTATTTTATTTTTATGTTCTTAATATAAGGTGCTTTCATAGTAAATTTAAAATTTTATTGTTCCTTTGCTTTAAGTTTTTCCTGAATGTCCTAAAAAAAGTTCTGGTTGTCTTGTTTTTTTTTTTATATCATTCATTTAAACTGGAAAAATGTTTTGTAGATTTTAAGAATAAGGCAGGAAAATATAGTATAGGGGACAAGCTGAGATACAGTTTTTGCTGTGCACCTAGGGGGCTAACGAAACCAAACATATTCTTTCAGCCATCGGGCATTTTAACGTGATGGTCAGTCCCACTTTTCATTGGTAAAAGAGTTGGTGGTGGGTGGTGTTGACTAGCTGCATTGTCTCTAGTCTATCACTTTTAAATTAGGGATGGCTAGCACAGCTAGACCTCGAGTAGTTTTGCATGAAATTCAACAAAACATCCAATATGGAAGTAACGAGAAAGCGTAACTAAGTATCTGTTGTATTGATGAGGTGTTATGTTAGTCAAAGATGATTGTGTTATTGGGACACAGAGAAAAACAAAACATTATTCTGTTATATACACAAGCAAGTTTTTAATCAGTGTTATGTGAACTGTTGTAAGTTAACAAGAGCTAAAAGTGATACCTGTTCTACAGATCTTATGCAATACGGTTAGAAACATTAGGTATACTTAATTCTATGGACTTCATTTAAAAGACTTAAGAATGCAAGTGAAATTGATACATAAGGAATCAAACTTAATGAAGGTTGTGTTTAATATTGAATTTGATATTATAAAACTATGGATTTATTTTCTTGGTGAAATTTCGAGCAAACTCTTTTTTTTTTTTTCAAGCCAGAAATAAGCCTCTTGGTTAAAGACGGGCTTGAAAAAAAGTATGTTTGATTGAAATGTCGCCAAGAAAACAAAACACAGCTATAGTTTGTTAAGGCGATTTATCTTCAAAAGTCTAATTTCCTTATTTTTTACCATTTATTTTTATTAATCATAAAACTATTAGGTACTTAGCCTGTGAATGGAAGGCAAAGAAAGGAGCGACAAAAGTTTTTGATCGAGACACGATGCGGGGATACACTCCCAGGGTGCCACAGCAAACCAACTTTAGCGACTGTGGTCTCTATGTATTGCAGTATACAGAAAGTTTCTTTGAGGTTTGTGATGCACAGATGTATGTGAGGATATTTTATATGATGCACAGATGTATGTGAGGATATATACATCTGTGCATCATACAAGATATCCTCACATACATCTGTGCATCGTATAAAATATCCTCACGTGCATCTGTGCATCAATACACCTGTGCATCGTATAAAATATCCTCACATACATCTGTGCATCATATAAGATATCCTCACATACATCTGTGCATCATATAAGATATCCTCACGTGAGGATATTTTATACGATGCACAGATGCACGTGAGGATATTTTATACGATGCACAGATGTGAGGATATTTTATATGATGCACAGATGCACGTGAGGATATTTTATACGATGCACAGATGTATGTGAGGATATTTTATATATATATATTTACTGTCAGCATTGTTACTAAATTAGTCACTTCAGCATTTTGTATCCTGTAGTTGAAATTCCTGAATTTTTCAGTATATAAATCATATAACCATTGCACAGAATAAAACTCACTATTTAATTTTGGCATTTTTTTTCCATGTATGCCAGGCATGTCTTGACATACCATGCAATATATGAAGTAGTGTAACAACAATTTTAAATAGTATATAACATGAAGTGTACACATAGCATTTCACTGAAGTTAACTTAGCATTATCAAGTGTAACAAAGGGGAAAAAAAAAACATTTGAATTTAAGTCTACTCATGAGGGGTTATCCAGTAACCTAGTAGGTTCTTGTCTTTAAATATTGATGTGAAACGTTTGAATTATACCCGTCTTGTATAGAAATAGGGGTGTACCTGGGTGCTTGTTAATGGTAGGCTCGAGATACCTTCTTACAATAGCGTCTGTGAGTTTTCTAATGTATTATAATTTTCATGGTTTAAAACTGGCCGTTTCAATAAGGGTAAATTTGTTACACATAATCAAATGTTTATTGAGTCCTGGTTTCTTTAATATATTTAACATTACATAACTTACATTCTGTTTGATGTATTACTTTATTTGTGGCTGTATTTTATTTTAGATTTAATAAGATCAAACTACCCTTTTAAGTTTTGTTCTCAAAGTAAATGTCTCCTTTTGAAAGTTGATTGGGTTGGAACCATTTTTGCTAAATTGTGAACTTTTTGGAGTTTGATTTTCTGGAAAATAAAATTGTTAAAATATTTTATGTTGCCATATTTTCACGTCAATAAATATAAGAAACAAACATCTTTTAATATTGATCAGAAATTTTAATATTTGTATGTTGTAGAAAAATTGACAAGATGACAAGTATGTGTATTCCAATATGTTTTGTTTTTTTTCTTCTTTAAATACAGAATCCTTTACCGTGGTTTGGTAGGCCTATGCCTTGTCTTGATGACTGGTTTCATGAGGAAAAAGTAATGGGGAAAAGAGCCGAGCTTAAGGACCTTATTTTACAGATCCATAAACAACAAGCCTCACAACAACTGCTAACTACTCCAAAATCCCACCAGAGGGCACAACCCTTACTACAGGGTACTTGTCCAGGTCAAGACTCTGTTTCCAAAAATAATAATCCTTCTTCCACAACTTCATCCCCACTCGTGGTGTCCCTTTCATTATCGGAAGCTTGTAACAGTTGAAGTTTTCAAGGATCAATTAGTTCCGTGTTACCGTGTCTAACACTCTAAGACATAATAACCATGTGCAGCAATTTTGTAAGTATTCCAAAAAAAAAAGAAAAGAGGATTGAGTGATTGAGTCGGGAAGAAATCCTGAAAGAGTCGAGATAACTTTGGAAACCAAATCAGCAACAATCATTGTGCTTTACCTTGTAGACTTAAAAGTTGCTAGCTAAACGTTTCATCCACGACAAAATGCAATTGAAAGAACAATTACATGTAGAGTTTTTAAGTCTTACTTCACTGTTGGAGTTTTTTTCTCGGCATTCACTGTTAAAGCAGAACTAAACAATGATGAAACTTTTTTTTTTTTCCCACAGTGATATTACTATGGTATTCAAAAAAAGTCAGTAACTGTTTTGTATTAACAGTGGGTTATTCACAGCCAGTGCAGAATGTGTAATATAAAGCTCTTTGTTTATTGTTTTGTTTTTTAATCTTCTTTCCAGAAAGTATACTTTGGTGTGTGTGTAATATGCACATGTAAATAAATGAGGATGTACACTTCGAGTGTGGACTACAATACATTTCGTAATAATTATGGTAATAGCTGGTACGAGGGCCTTTAAAAATAAAAACTTGAAGTATTGGTTCGCTGAAGGTAGACTAGCTCAGGAGTTTGATAGCACTGCATTATTTTGCAGATATAAATCGTATCCTCGTGATTGTGTGGGTGCCGTGTATTCATCAGTACTGATCTTTCTTGTTTTTTTTTTATATATTGTGATTCAAATGATCATTTTGAAGTCATTTGAGTAATAATCTACGTGGATCAGTTTTGAGCAGGTATTTTTTTTTTCTTGGTAACGTTAAAAGAACTATTACAGTAGGTTAAGTTATGAATTGAGGAAATAAGGACATTTACTACTTTCCACTTCATTTTTTTTTTTTAAAAAACGAAGTTATAAATTGTATACCAGCCATTGTGTGGTTGCCTACAAAAAACATCATATTAGCCTGAGAATTTATATGTTATGTAGTTTTACTTCTACACACCAAATAAAAGGACGAATTATCTTCCAGTTTTAATGTTCTGGTTTTGTTTTTAAATTCTCTAATTTTCATTTAGTAACCTAATAAAATTTTCTTAAGTGTATAATTTCTTGTGAAGAATTCTTTTTTGCTAAAACAAAAATATTAATTACTAATTATATCACGGTAAAATTAACGTGTTCACTAAATTTACATATGAAAAATAAACTGTTTTACAATAACTACTTTCACTGTGTTTAATTATACACGGGAAGATTTATTTAAAAGGATTTTGTGTGTGTGCATCTTTTTTTTTTTTTCTCAAGTGTTGACTATTTTAAGAGTAGAAAAACCAATTAGTTTATGTAATAATATTAGTTTGTGTGTTTAATATGTAAGAAAATCAAAAACTTTTCCAGAATATTGTACAAATATTTCGGGTTGTTCGGCATTAACTGCTGAATATTTTGTGTTGGACTAAGATAATTATTAAATACTTTAATAATCAAGATGCTTTCGAGAGACTGGTCTTCATAGATGTTTGAAACTTGCTCCACTTTACCATTTTCAAATAGCAGAGGACTTTCTTGTAACACCAGTACCTATGATCAAACTAACGTTTACTGGAAACAAGTTAAATAATACTAATAATTCTTTTAACTACTGGAGCGATTTAAAAAAAACAACAACTAATTTTTCGTTATTTCAAGAAAGGAAACTGAAGCTGGTAATAAACCTGAATATTTATACTTATAGAAACCAGGTTTCAATACCCATGTTGGGCACGGCACAGATAGCCCATTGTGTAGCTTTGTGCTTAGTAACAAATAAATCAACAAGATATTTTTTGTTTAACAGTGAAAATAGTGGTTTCCATTCAGACGTGTGATTCATTTATGATTTGAGTTTGATGTCTAATCATAACACCGAAAAAATTAAATATGCTTAACAACGATGCAACTTTCAACATATTTGAAAAAATGTACAATCAGTGCTTTTCTTGGAGAGGTTAATAAGTTTCGTTAAGTAGATGTTTCAGCAAATATTATAATGATTGGGATCAGGAGGAATTTAAAATTATCTTAAACATTCTGTGATAACGAAGTTAGATCAAAAAAAAATGTTATGTATTTTTTCTCATCTTCTGAAGTATTTTTATAGAAACAACTTCATGAACAGTGAAAAAAAACATTAAACCCAAAGTTTGAATTTGCAGGTTTTTTGTTGTTGTTTTTGTGGGAAGTTATTTGGCATAAATAATGAACTAAGGAAGTAAAAAGCTTGAAGAAATATTTAACTTGGGTAGAATACATAATACATGAATAATGAAAAGGCTACTTTTATTGATACTCGAGCATGTCAAGGTATTGAACTGGGGTCTTGAGTTTGAGCCACGATGCTATTAAAACTTGATTTGTGTCGTGCTGTGTCTTCATATAGTTTGATGTACCACTATATTGGTATTTTCCTTAAGGTTGCAAATTATCATGGATTTGTATTACACGTGCTTGTTGAAAAATATGCCAATTTCCTTATTAAACACACACACACACGTTAAACATCAATATTTCAAAATAAACCCGAAAAGCTTTGAAGCATCAAACCTGAGTGTAGCACGATTTAAAATTAGGCTTCGTAAAACCTACAGTTGTTCTGTGTGACAGAAATTACTTTGTTAAGCCACAAAAGTAGATTAATCATTTTGTCACATCTTGTGATATGGCTTGTTCTCGTTAGTCCCTGAATTCTCATCCCTCGAGTACAAGATTTTTGTTATAATGTAGCACCAAAATATGCCTGGAATGTTCGTTTCAGAACGTCAGCTTGTCTTTGAGCTTGTGACAACGTGAATGAATTTCTCTGTCGAAATCCAATTCCTTGGCTGTGATCTCTTCTAGCTTGTTGGCATTGCTGGGCATTTTTACTTCTTAACCAACTATAAAAAAAAAAAAAAGTACAATAAATATCATTATCTGAACAGATCAAATATACTTAATTGTTAAATCAATTAATAACTGAAGTAATAAATCATCAACCACAAACTGTTGAAGTGGCTGTGATGAGTTATTTTGATTTTACTAATTCATTTTTTTCAAAAAGTATGCTTCATAAGTCGTTTGGCATAAAATTACAAGGGGGGAATACCTGCGTGATTATACCTCGTATGTCCCCAGGTGGGATCAGAGTTTAAGTTTATGGACCAGGGTTCATTTCCCCATGGTGGACAGAGTGCAGATAGCCTGTTGCGTATCTTTACACTAAAACAGCAACCAACAATGCATACTTAATGTAACATAAACATAATGCGTATACAAAATTAATCTGGTCACAAATACACATACAAAATTATATAAGTGGAATTAATTTTGTAAACTGGCATTAAACAAAAAAGGAAAATGTCTCTAAATACAATATTACTATAGTTGGTGGTAAAAAACAAATCAAAATTGGCTTAGATTTAAACTTGATGTCTGCCCATACTCAAACCTTTTACTACATAGATTTAAACTTAACCTCCACCCATATTGATGATTTGGCATACACTGAACCTTAACTTTCCTTATTCAAACCTTTTACTACATAGATTTAAACTTAACCTCCACCCATATTGATGATTTGGCATAGATTGAACCATAACTTTCCTTATTCAAACCTTTTACTACATAGATTTAAACTTAACCTCCACCCATATTGATGATTTGGCATACATTGAACCTTAATTTTCCTTATTCAAACCTTTTACTACATAGATTTAAACTTAACCTCCATCCATATTGATGATTTGGCATAGATTGAACTTTAACTTTCCTGAAAAAATAGTGAAAAATTGTTTTCAGTTATATACAATGCAATACAAAGAAAACAGGCAACAATTTGTTTAAGTAGTAGTAAACAATCTTAAGGGTTGTCATGTGGAGGCCAGGAAGTTGCAAGTTCCCAGTGTTCTTCTGGTTATATACTGACCTATTGATGCCCCCTATCTTTTCCTATTTACGCTATATGGTACTTTGTTTTTCAGTGGTCCGATGGATGTTGATGAAGACCTTCCAAAATGCAGCTTCTCCTTACTATAGCAAATAAGGTCAAAATCCTGCCAGTAGAATTGTGTTGGATTTTATACGTGAACTGGTCAACTTCCTTTTTTTCACAATATACACCCAGATGATGGTCCTCCCAATTATCTCTGGCAACCAATCTAGATTTTATGCACTACTGCCTACAAGTCAGTTGCAAATATTATGTTAGTGGCACTTTCCTTTTTGCATTTCATTGCTCTCAGCAATCCAGAGAATAGCTTGCTTTATGGCTGTCGGGTCCATCCTTGTGCTGCGTGTGGAAAGCTTAAATGCTCTACCAGCCTTACGCAGAATGTTGTTGCTCTATGAGATAATGAATGTCAACCTGCTTTCACTATCTTTGGTGTAGGAACCATCTGTTGATATAACGACAGATGACTGTCTACCATGATCTTTAAACTGATGCTGAAAGGTCTTTTCTGCTTCACTTTGTGCTCAGTCTCTATATTTACCGTCTAAGCTGATTTGCACAAATCTCAGAAGTGCCAGATGTTTATCTAGCATGAGGAGCCATCAGAGATCTGGAGGTAACCAGTTACCTCAGTTTGGCTGTGTAACATGTCTCAACTGAAAAGGGCAGTGGCTCAATGATGGAATGCATAATTTTTACACAAGGTCCTAGTGAACACATTTATTTGTTAATGATGTTGGTGCTCTGCAATACTGCTGAGACTTGTGAAATGTAATAGAGCTTTGCTGGGGGTGGCTGAAGTACATCAACAGTCGTAAATAGGTGTTTTTCGTTCTTATCTAGCTGCATATCACCCACACTGATCATTTGTAGTGCGAGCACTTCAGTGTTCATTCCATAGGGATAACAGTGCCTACAAATGATAGTGTTAAGTGTGCAGAACACGGTGTGGATTTGGCAAGATTTACGACCATTTGTGTATCATTGCACAATTTGCTCACACTGCTAAAGGAAAGTTGCATCTTGCTTTCAAGTTCAGCTTTGCTAGGACATCATTTGTATACCATGATTCCATCAGCAAAGGTTAGCACATGTCATCTGGTTGGACTATCAAGGCAGGCTAAATCCATAATGTACATGTTGAAGACAACTGGTGAGAGTAGTGATCATTGAGGCAGACCAATATTGATAGTGATTCAGTTTGATTGCCAGCTTCCATGCTTCATGATGTATCTTCTGGTAGTGGATGCTTATACACTGTTTCGACAGCGGAAGCATGCGCGCTGGAGTTTCTAGAAGGATCATGACTTTTCCTGGCAACTCTAGTCTGTTCCAGGCGCCCTCTTTTTTAGTATATAAGCCCGGCAAATAAAGCGGAGATATAATTGCAAATAGATACAGAGACAGATAATTGAGTCAAGGGAGCGGTAGTGACGGTATTATAAAGTGTGTGTTTTGTTATCGAGATTGCAAACGTATTGATTGTGGAAATTCTGTGTATTTCAAAGTTGTATCAAGAAATAATAAATTACTTTTAATTAAGAAAGGACTTCTATCGCTGAAGTTTCTCGGAGAGATTTTCTACAGGAAATTAACAAACAAGCAGATACGTAACAATATATATTGAAATAGTGCCTATCCTGAGAATTTTGCGACCAAGGATGGGCAGGTACACTCTATTGTAGACATCTTCCAGATATAGTCGCTGCCAAAGTGTTCTGAACAGCTTCAAAACCTTTCCATATATCAGAAGCACTTATACAGGTATGTTTTCCACTGCAATGATGATTCAATGTCCTTTAAGATGAGAAAGATCCTTCACAGATTTTATTAAGGATTAGATAAAGGCAACCAAGTTAGGCATCCCTAGGTAGAAGCAAGGACGCAGCCTCCAGATGTTTTTAAACATAAACACGGTAATGTTGCTAGAGAATGTAAATACAAAAACAAAATTAGATCTCCAACGGCATCACCTGCGACAAAACCCGAAATATCCAACTGAGAAACATTCATTGACAGTATAAACCAGCACACGAAATAAGGTCAAGTACCGCTTATGGAGGCGTCGCTAGGTGCTTAAAAGATTCGGGGCTCGGGCACATACCCCCCCCCACCCCAAGAATAATATCCATCGTGATTTTCTTATTCCGATTTTTCAAAACACCGACTGGGGATTCAGATAGAATGGGGACACAAGCCCTGTGTGCCAGTGCCTAACAACGCCTCTAAGCGCTTATGCCTAAATAATTTTGTTTTCCTTTTCCAAGTACCACGTCCCCCCCCCACCCCAACACACACAGTGGCACCGCAGTGTGTTTGCGGATTTACAACGCTAGAAACCGGGTTTCGATACCCGTGGTGGGCAGAGCACAAATCGCCTTTTGTGTAGCTTTGTGCTTAACTACACACAAACAAACCAAGTACCACAACGCCACATAGCTCTTTTCAATAGTTTTTAAAGAACTCTTTAAAAAAGCACATATTTCTCATTAATCAATTGAAATAAATATATTTGCATTACATAAAGTATCTTCTACCGTTGTTCACTGCTACTTCTTTTTTCCCACTTAGTTTAGATTTACGCCAACTTTGGTGAAATGGATATGATATTCTTAGGTATGTAATCATTATCACAGCTGATCACACTTCTCATTCAAAAGTTTGAACCTAACCTTGTATTTTCCAAAAAACAATTACATAATATAAACAGGTCCAGGATCGTTTTCAAGCAATTTGCCTCATTTGTGGTTAGGGCTTTCGACTCACAATTTGCGGGTCGCGGGATCGAATCCCTGTCACCGAACATGCTCGCCCTATCAGCCGTGGGGGCGTTATATGTAACGGTCAATCCCACTATTCGTTGGTCAAAGAGTAGCCCAAGATATGGCTGCTTTCCTTCTAGTCTACAACTGCTAAATTAGGGATGGCTAGCGCAGATAGCCCTCGTGTAGCTTTGTGCGAACTTCAAAACAAACAAATCCCGATAAAATTATTACACTTGTTTCATTATTCCACCCATAAAAACGGTGTTGTTGAAAGCAAAATAAAAAAGAAAAAAAGGCAGATTGAAATTAGCAAAACATGACAGTAATGTTGTAAATGTGCCATTGTATCAAATATATATTCTGCTTTTCAGATTATAAGGCTATTAAATCGAGTCCAGTGGACTAACACTTAAAAGTTTGATTTTAATCTGCTTGTAAAATATAACTAATCCAAATATCAAACTAAGAATTTTAACTGTTGAGCCCTTAAGCTAATTCAAGTCAAACTCTAAAAGTCTTTGAAATTTGAGACTTACTTTAGTCTCGCACTTAGATAAATAATATCAATACAATTTACAATTATCATTTATATTTAGTAATAAGGATTAACTTAGGAATTATTAGAAAATTATTAGTATTAGTTAGCTCTTACGCTCTGTAAGCTTTTTGTGCTTCTTCTTTGCTTCTCTTAGGCTTAGCTCCTGCAATTTCCTGCTCTTCGTAGAACTTTAACATATTTTCTCTAAGTTCTTCCTCGTCTTTTCTCACTAACCAGGCTCTAAAAGCTCCCTCTGCGTCTCTCCATTCTTTACGAGGCTAGAAGTAAAAATAAAATTACCATTATCACATATTTATTTTAACTTTGAAGACTGCAAGTAACTGGAGACTCAATCAGGAATTCTAGTACAGGGTTAAAACTGAAAATTTGGCCTGACTGAGTAAATGTTGTGGACGTTAATATAATTTTCAGAGTTCATAATGCTGCCATACATAGTTGTAATTGACATCTATTGGATTTTCATCACAAATATAGCAACGAGAAATGACAGTAATTTTTTTTACAAACAAAATATTTCTTCACATTTTTAATTATTTCTTGACTTCCATTTCTTTAAGGCTTCGGCCGATGGTACATTGATAAAAGTGTTTGTGCCCTAGAACCAACTAAAACCTAATAAATTTCTGGCTCTTGAAATATACCTATACTTGTAGGCTGCATTACAGTTCATAATTATCAGCCTGTTATCAATTAAGTTCACAAAACTAACTGGCGTATCTGAGTAAAAAAAAAATACAAGTGCTGTATTACCTCCACATCATAAGATATATAATTATATCATTTGTGTACTTTTGTATTTCAAATGTACAATAATTGTTTAATATTCTCAAATACAGCATATTAAACATGCTAATTTAATGCTATAAAATACTGTATCTATTAAGTTTAGTTTACAATCACATGTACTCATAGGCATAGGAACCAATATAATAGTAGTAGGACTATATTCACATGTTTATGTGGTGGGACACATGTAAAAAGTAAAAAGCTTATGTATCCATTTTTCAGTCCCATAAAGAAGTACAAGAGTGGGATTTCGACCCCACTACACCACTGGTTGTTGTGGTTACTAAACACTATTTTTCAGTCCCATAAAGAAGTACAAGAGTGGGATTTCGGCCCCACTACACCACTGGTTGTTGTGGTTACTAAACACTATTTTTCAGTCCCATAAAGAAGTACAATAGTGGGATTTCGGCCCCACTACACCACTGGTTGTTGTGGTTACTAAACACAGTATTTCAAGGGCCGAACGGGCCTGGTGCTTAGCGTGCCTAGACTATAAATACGATGGTTCATGGTTCACATCCCGTTGCCGCAAAAACGCGTTCCGCAAATTGGCGCCATGAGTATACTATAAGAATGGTGGTAAAATCTCAGACAAAAGTAGCAAAAAGTGTGTGTTGTTGACTAGCTACCTTGCCCCTAGTCTATCAATTTAAAATTAGGAACGACTATGCGCAGGTACCTTTGCAGTTTTGCGCGAAAATTCTAAAACAAACAATTAGTGTTTCTGAAATGTATTCGGCTGACTCGAGTAAAAGAACATAGCCCCCAGTGGCACAGCGGTATGTCTGCGGACTTTCAACGCTAGAATCCGGGTTTCGATACCCGTGGTGGGCAGAGCACAGATAGCCCATTGTGTAGCTTTGTGCTTAACTTCAAACAAAACAAAAACAAAAGAACATAAGTTTTAACGGGGCATATATTAGGCCGTAGATTAGCTGTTCATATCTGACAAATTTATAACGAAAACGTGATATTATTCATTTGAATGATGGATTGAGTGTTGTACTTTAATTATAAAAAAAAAATTATTATTTCATTCATTTATACAATTTTTGTGGTTGCGAGAATTGTTCTTAGTTGATCACGTTATGTTTGTTATATTTTTTAGCTGAATGAATTGCAACTAAATTGATTAATACAAATATATTATTTTTCACACACACACACACCTTTGTCCCTGAATGGCGTAGGCAGTTTCCCTGTTTATTTACTTCCTTTTGTTCAAGCCAGGCTTTGAAAGCACTGTCCGCTATATTACATTTATCTTTTTTTCTTTCGCCTTCTTCTTGCATCTTCTTCTTCTTTTCCTCCAATTTTTTCATTCTTTCATTGTGAAGCTTTTCACGTTCACGGTCAGGTAAACCGTATTGAGAACGCGCATTACCTCCATAATTCGGTAGTTTTCGTTGGAATTCTCCATTCGAGGGAACACTTTGTCCAATATTACGATCCCGGCCCCTCGCTGATTGTACAAATCTTTTCCCTCCCGATATGACTGATTTCGAGGTGGTTCTAGCTGACCCGGGTCTCTTCATATTTAAACCTTGACCTTTCCCTTTGTTTGCTGGCCAGTTGGTTTTATTTATTTCACTGCCCTTAACTACACGACAAACACCATCATTTTCTACTTTACTTACAGACTGCAACGTCCCAGCACTGAGGGTGCTACAATCAAACTGTACTGGGCCGTGTTCTGTACCAGAATTGTCTGAGTTTAATGCGCACGTTAAATTTCGATTGTCTACGGTATGAATTAGTAATAGTTGATTTTCGTTCTTCGTGTTAGCGCATTCTTTGTCGTCTAAGAGGAATCCTCGAGAACTTTCTTTACATAATTCATTTGCCTTGGAATTATCTTCAGTACTACCTGACTGCACAAAATGCCCTTTAGGAAGATCGTTGGCTTCTTTTTCATTTTCTCCGTGGATTTTATTTTGCTCTTCATTTTCGTCGGTACCAATAGCTCGAATCTCTTGGGTGTTTTCCAGTAAAAGATCTGATGATTCATCAGTATTTATTTCTTCTGGGGTCTGATAAGTAGATTGTTGTTGCCCATTTACGATATCACCTTCCTCTGGGTCTTTTTCTTCGTCTTCTGCTGATTTGCTGATGGAGTCTTCCTCAAAGTCAGGAGGATAATCTATATTAAGATAGTACTCGGCGTCATGTCCTCCCTCAAAACTGTCCGAAGAGTCAGAAGGTGAAGGAGATGGTGGTACTACTAAATCAACTATGTCTTCTTTAAATTTCACCAGAACTTCTCGGTCGCATTCAATAGGAGTAGGGTCCTCTTCAAAGTGGGCATTAATTTCTTGTAATTTTTGTTCAATATCATAGGGAATGTCTGCAAACGCTGAAACGATAAAACATCATGAGCAGATCCTTATTTACGAATATTATCTTAATTATTTGTAATCTTACTCTACTAATTCCAGTAATGTTTCCATATTTTTACTCGTAAGAGCTGGTAATGGGATAAATAAAACACTTTGGACAAATAAAACTCTTTCAGAAGAGAAAATTATATTTATATATTTTTCTAAAAATCTGAATAATTTTTATACAAATTGTAGGGCGCGTCACTGAGAAAATAAGAACGACGAATTTGTTTTAGATAAAGGCTTTTCCGTTAAATACATCATAAGCTGCATTTTGTAAAAATGAACAAGTGACTAAAGTGATTACTGACAGATTACTAATTATGTTGTGTGTTATATAACATTTATGGCAGTGTTTTAGTATAGCCAGTCAGACGACGAGATAACCAAAGTAAACACTTCCGGATCCGGAATGTTCTTGAGCCCGCGGAAAAACATGTTATCTAAAAAAAAAGGAGCGAATATTTTTGGTTATGTTACTCTAAGAATATTTTTTTTCTTAGTGGGTTATCTGCACTCTTTCCACTGGGGTGAATCGAACCCCTGATTTTTGCGTTTTAAAGCAGAAAATTACCGTTGACACACTAAGGGACACGATAATAACAACAAAATTGTCAAAATTTAGTAGATTTTCTTAACGTATTTTGTTTTACGAGATGTTTTCCAATAATAAATTATATATATATCACAACAAGGTCTTCAAAACAGTGTGACTGTTCTATGCTCCCACATTTCCCAGACCAGACCTAGTTGTGAATCTCTATTTTTGTACTTTTAAAAAAAAAAATTTTTTTATTTTTATTTTGAAGTCACTTACAGGTCCTGTTTGATCAAATAGACTGACTGATTTACTAGGATTTTAAATCACACATAATTAACTTATCTTGTCATGATTTTCAACAGATCCTATTTTGTCAATCAGGACTGGCTGATTTATTAGGGTAGAGGTGTCTATCAGTTCGTAAATAATAATATTTTAATATATACATCTTGATCATTTGTCCTTGAAAAGGTTTGTTTGCAATTAAACACAAAGCTACACAATGGGCTATCTGTGCTCTGCCCACCACGGGTATCGAAACTCCGTGTCTATCGTTTTAAGTCCGCAGATATATCGCTGTGCCACTGGGGGGGGGGGGGAGGCTTGAAAAGGAAGCTAATGATTTTCTAGAAGGACAGTTTGAAAACAAGAGACTCTTGCTTGTTTGTTTGTCGTTAAGCTCAAATTTACACAATGGTCTATCTGAGTTCTGCTCACCACGGGAATCGAAACCCGCTTTCTATCGTTTTAAATCCGCAGACATATCGCTGTGCCATTGGAGGGGGGGGGGGAGGACTCTTGAAAATGAATCTCTAGAAGGACAGTTTGAACAGTAAGATAATCTAGTTTGTTTACCTTGATCATTTGTCCTTGTACTCTGTCCACTGCAGGTATCGAAACTCGATTTTTAGCGTTATAATATCTCAAACTTACCGCTTAGCCACCAGGGGGTTAATCAGATTGTAGAGAAGTTAATTCAAAGGCGAACGAAACTTATAAAGAAAATACGAAATGGATGTGGTAGAAAGAAGGACTAATCCCCAGCTGGGTCAGCGATGAGTTTATGGACTTATATTAAAATTCGAAGTTGGATCCCCCCGAAGATGGCCCAGTGTTTGACTTTGAACTAGAAACAACAATGAAGGCCTAAAATTAAGCATTCCTTACTCATTCCGTATAAAGTGATTATTCCAATAAACCATACGATCCTCGTGGTGGATAGAGCACAGATAGCCCATTGTGTAGCTTTGTACTTAACTACAAACAAACATTAAACATATTATTCTTTGCATGATAATCGTTAGCCTAAATGGCCTCCTGGTGTCTTTAACAGGAGTATTCGCTCTCATAGTCTTTGCTTTTTTTATTCCATTGTATTGTTACAGTACAAAAACTAAAGCTTATAAAATGGAAAAAAATATGTATCAGTTTGACGTTACTATATCGTTCCTGTACGTGTCACTTACAGAAAGCTTTAAATTGTGTGTGCACAAATGCCACAAATCATGTGTGTTAAAAATGGTATGACGGTCCAATGGTATTCTTCCAATCTCTGATCATTATATTAATCTCGCAAATCGATCGTAATGCGATAGAGGGCACTAAATCCAGTGTAGTCCTGGGGTATATTCACTGATCTCTATATATCAGCGGGTATATAGAGATCAGTGGGTATATTATTTTATATTCTGCGTATAACGTTATTCAAGTGTACTGCCCTCTGCTGAGTAAAATGTGTAACTACACTAAACGTCCATTTTAGATGTGTATGGTGTTACACTTCTTAAGCTAATAGGTGATTTTTAATATCTAGTTAATGAACAAGACTTTTAAATAAATAAATATATATATATATTGTATAGACTTTATATTTACTGTCAACTTAAGTTGGAGTGACGTCACAGCGCATGGTCGGCAGTATTTTCTTATTACGTATAGGAGTCAAGCCCTCTTTTTCTTTATATTAGTGAGCATTATTATTATTCATAGATTTTAAATAAAGTAGATAATTAAATTAACTACAATTTGTTTTAAATAATTAGTTACAAGACATATTTATAATAATTTAATCAGGAAATTCAAAATAATATATATATTAATATATATA